CCGTCTCAAAAAAAAAAAAAAAATGAGGACGGGCCAGGCACGGGAGCTCATGTCTGTTATCCTACCTAGCAACTTGGGAGGCTGAGGTGGGCAGATCACTTGTGCTCAGGAGTTCAAGATCAGCCTGGGCAACAAAGTGAGACTGTGTCTCTATAAAAAATAAAAAAAAATAATTAGCCAGGCCTGGTGGTACACACTTGTAGTCCCAGCTACTCAGGAGGATGAGGAGGGGGGAATCCCTTGAGCCAGGGAGGTCAAGGATGCAGTGAACTCTGAACCCACTACTGCACTCCAGTCTGGGCAACAGAGTGAGACCCTGTCTCAAAACAAAAAGGGGGGAGATGGCTTAAGCACATAAGCATTTTTGTCCATCACAGCCATACATTTCTGGTTTTTTGTTTGTTGGTTTTCTGGAGACAGGATTTAGCTCTGTCACCCGGTCTGAAGTGCAGCAGCCCAATCAGCGTTTACTGCAGCACTGACCCCTGGGGCTCATCCACCTCAGCCTCCCCAGTAGCTGGGACTATAGGTGCATGCTACCACACCTGGCTAACTTTATTTATTTATTTAGAGATAGAGTTTCGCTCTTGTCGCCCAGGCTGGAGTGTAGTGGCATGTTCTTGGCTCACTGCAACCTCTGCCTCCTGGATTCAAGTGATTCTCCAGCCTCAGCCTCCCAAGTAGCTGGGATTACAGGCGTCTGCCACCTTGCCCGGCTAATTTTTGTATTTTTAGTAGAGAAGGGGTTTCGCATAGCCGGCCCCTAGCTAACTTTTTAATTGTTCTTTTGTTGAGACAGGGTCTCATTATTTTGCCCAAGCTGGTCTTGAACGGGACTCAAGTGATCCTCTTGCCTTGGCCTCTCAAAGCGCTGGGACTCCAGGCATGAGCCACTGCACCCGGCCTGTTTTGAAATTTTGAAATTTTTTTTGAGACAGGGTCTTGCTCTGTCACTCAGGGTAGAGTATAGTGGCGCGATCTCAGCTTACTGCAATCTCCATTTCCTAGGCTCAAGTGATCCTCCCACCTTAGCCTCCCAAGTAGCTGGGACCAGAGGTGTGCACCACTACGCCCAGCTATTTTTTTGTAGTTTTAGTAGAGACAGGGTTTTGTCATGTTGCCCAGGCTGGTCTCAAACTCCTAAGCTCAAGAGATCTGCCCACCTTGGCCTCCCAAAGTGTTAAGATTACAGGCATGAGCCACCTGCCATGTATGTATGTATTATGTGTGCATGTATTTATTTTTGAGACAGAGTTTCACTCTATCTCCCAGGTTGGAGTGCAGTGGTGCAATCTCGGCTCACTGCAACCTCTGCCACCCGGGTTCAAGCAATTCTCCTGCCTCAGTCTCCAAAGAAGATGGGAATACAGGGACCTGCCACCGTGCCTGACTAATTTTTGTACTTTTAGTAGAGACGGGGGGGTTTTTTTTTTTTTTTTTTTTTGAGACGGAGTCTCGCTCTGTCACCCAGGCTGGAGTGCAGTGGCCGGATCTCAGCTCACTGCAAGCTCCGCCTCCCGGGTTCACGCCATTCTCCGTCCTCAGCCTCCCGAGTAGCTGGGACTACAGGCGCCCGCCACCTCGCCCAGCTAGTTTTTTTGTATTTCTTAATAGAGACGGGGTTTCACCGTGTTAGCCAGGATGGTCTCGATCTCCTGACCTCATGATCCGCCTGTCTCGGCCTCCGAAAGTGCTGGGATTACAGGATTGAGCCACCGCGCCCGGCCGAGGCAGGGTGTTATAATCTTGGCCAGGCTGGTCTTGAACTCCTGACCACTTGATCTACCGACCAATGCCTCCCAAAGTGCTGGGATTACAGGTGTGAGCCACCGCACCCGGTCACTATTTATTTATTTTTTGAGAAGGAGTCTTGCTGTCATGCCCAGGCTTGAGTGCAGTGGGGCGATTTCAGCTTACTGCAACCTCTGCCTCCCGGGTTCAAGCGATTCTCCTACCTCAGTCTCTGGAGTAGCTGGGATTACAGGCGTGTGCCCAAAACGCCCAGCTAATTTTTGTACTTTTAGTAGAGACAAGGTTTCCCCATGTTGGCCAGGCTGGTCTCAACCTCCTGACCTCAGGTGATCCACCGCCTCGGCCTCCCAAAGTGCTAGGATTACAGGTGTGAGCCACCATGCCCAGGCATTTTGTTTGTTTGTTTAAAGTAGGGTAGAATCAATATTTTTTGTTATCCTTGGGATTTCTGCCCATTTGATCATAAGCGAGGGTGTTAGAAGCCCTCCTTGAAAGATCTACAAGTAGGATGAAAAACATTTACTGAAGAAGATGCCTAGATACAGCCTCACAGTATGAGCTCATGGTTCAGTGCACTCTTAGATGAGGAAAACAAATGAAATAAATGGTTCATTTCCCTAATTTTACATAAAATACTTTATGTTAGGTGAATAGTCTCCCTTTGTGTCCTTTTATTTTGCTTTAGGATAGGAGAATGTCAGAGAAAAGGCCATACTTTCATGGTTTAGTAATCATCAGAATCAAATGGGTTTTGAAACTGAAAGCAGAAGAGGTTAGCGTAAGACTTTATTTTAGGTGCCAGAGGCTTCTCTCATTTCTTGCATTGATAGGATAAGAAAATCTGCAAAAAAAAGGCACGTTTAGGGTCAGCAGTTCTGTGGCTGCAAAAGGCCCACAGATGCACAACGGTGATTTCATAGTTTAAGTATGAAAAAGCAACATGATTAAATTTAAAAATTTCTTTCATGAAGAATTCCTCAAATTGAAAGAGTTACTCAGATGAAGAGACATCTACAGATATAAGGAGGATCTTAGGACTCCTCTACTGCTATTTCTTCTTATTTATTTAGAGACAGAGTCTCACCCTGTTACCCAGGCATGATCTTGGCTCACTGCCACCTCTGCCTCTCGGGTTCAAGTGATTCTCCCACATCAGCCTCCCGAGTAGCTGGGACTACAAGCATGTGCCACCATGTTCGGCTAATTTTTATATTTTTTGGTACAGATGAGGTTTCACCATGTTGACCAGGTCAGTCTCGAACTCCTGACCTCTCACATAAGTTATCCACCGCCTTGGCCTCCCAAAGTGCTGGGATTACAGGTGTGAGCCATTGTGCCTGGCCTCTTTGATTTTAAAACTGTATGTAATGTTTTAGTTTCTTATACCTGCAGTAACCTAATCAATGCCTTGACAGGCATTACAGGCTGGCCTAATCCCCATTCCAATTCCCTTTTCCTTTGTCTGCCATTACCAGAGACTGGAAAGCCAAAACCTACATAATTCTGGTCAGTGAAATGTTAGTGATATTTATTGAGATTTTTTGGAAAATTATGTCTTTCTAGCACAGATCCTGCCCCTCCTTGGCACTCTCTCCTTCCTGTTGGAAGGTATACTGAGAACAGCCATGTTGAAACCATGAGGTAACTAGCACACACAGAGCATGTCTAAGGGGAAAAAGACAATGAGCCTGGGTCCGTGACAGCACTGCCCACTGCCTACTTTGAGACCTTTATTATGTAAGTGAAATCATTAAGCTGTAAACCACTGGTTTTCAAGTTTCTGATACTTGCAGCTAAATGCAATTCCTAATTGATACAAGTAAAAATTCTCCAAAGTAAGGAAGAGGACCCACTGCAAATAAGAATTAGCAACGAAGGAAAGAATAAACACTATCATTCAGCTTTCTATAAAAAATACATCTCTTGGCCAGGCTCGGTGGTTCACGCCTGTAATCCTAGCACTTTGGGAGGCTGAGGCGGGTGGATCACCTGAGGTCAGAAGTTTGAGACCAGCCTGGCCAACATGGTGAAACCCTGTCTTCACTAAAAACACAAAAATTAGCCAGGCATGGTGACACATGCCTACATATAGGCTTGTGATTTGGGAGGCTAAGGCAGGAGAATCGCTTGAACCCAGGAGGTGGAGGTTGCACTCCAGCCTGGGTGACAGAGCCAGACACCATCTCAAAAAAACCAAAAACAACAACAAAAAAATCTTCAGGTCAAGCGTGGTGGCTCATGCCTGTAATCCCAGCACTTTGGGGGGCTGAGGCAGGTGGGTCACTTGAGGTCAGGAGTTCAAGACCAGCCTGGCCAACATGGTGAAATCCCATTTCTACTAAAAATACAAAAATTAGCCAGGTGTGGTGGGGCGTGCCTGTAATTCCAGCTACTCAGGAGGCTGAGGCACAAGAATCCCTAGAACCCAGGAGGTGGAGGCTGCGGTGAGCTGAGATCATGCCACTGAATTCCAGCCTGGGTGATGGAGTGCGACTCTGTCTCAAACAAAAAAAAAAATCTCCAATCAGCATTTCCTTCCAAAGTTGAATGATGTCCAATTATATAAGTTTATTATTATCACACAGTTACTTTCAACTTATGTGTTAAGATATTGGAATATTTACTTAATAAAACATTCCTTTTCACATCTGTTGTAGGTAACATTTCCTATCCAAGACTGGGTTTCTTGGGAAGCAATCTCTGAGTCAGAAATTAGCATGCACAATGCTGCTCCTGGGACCAACATGTGAGAAGGAAAGCAGGATTGGTTAAGCAAGATGTTAAGCTTCAACGCAGTCTCAATGAAGTTCTCATCTATCTAACCCCCATGGTGAGCTCCCGGACAGCTCTTTGTTCAGTCATGGGATGCTGGCTGGCACTGGCAGAAGGGATCATCTTGTGAGGTACTTTTCTTCAGTAAGGCATTCTCCACAGCCTGACAGTCAAGGGTTTCCTGTAGCACTCCTAGCATTTGGGGAATATCCTTTATTCCTAAACACAGATCTGGGGGGATGTCACAATGTCACATACACTATGGCATATCTTGCTTTAAAAAACATAAATGCTTTTATTCCATTAGCCACCTCAGTAACCCTTAACAGTCAATTCTCTAAACTTACTGATAGTAGTGAACACACTGGTGAAGCAGAAATAGTCCACAGCATTGAGAGAAAGAAGGTGGTAAAGAAACTGCTCTCTTTCTTCTTCACAACGTAGAAAAGCATATCGCTTATAAAGCTTCCTAGGAAAGGGTAAGACAAGCACAAGACAGTAGTATCAAAGAAAAAAAAAACAAGACAGTAGTATCATGTATTTTTCATTATGTCTTTTTTTTTTTTTAAGACAGAGTTTTTCTCTTTTTGCCCAGGCTGGAGTGCAATGATGCAATCTCAGCTCACTGCAACCTCCGCCTCCTGGGTTCAGGTGATTCTCCTGCCTCAGCCTCATGAGTAGCTGGGATTACAGACATGTGCCACTACGCCAGGCTAATTTTTGTATTTTTAGTAGGGATGGGGTTTCAACATGTTGGCCAGGCTGGTCTCAAGCTTCTGACCTCTGGTGATCCATCTGCCTCTGCCTCCCAAAGTGCTGGGATTACTGCTGTGAGCCACTGGACCTGGCCATTTTGTTTTTCTTTTGTTTCTTTCCCATTATGTCTTCTTTCTTCCAAGATGGGGTCTCGCTATATTGCCCAGGCTGGTCTTGAACTCTTGGACTCAAGTGATCCTCCTGCCTCAGTCTCCCAAAGTGTTGGGATTACAGGCATGAGCCACTGGGCCTGGCCCTCATTAAGCCTTGACTAAAAATAAATAGCTCCTCTTAGACAAACACCTTTAATCTTGAAAAAATAGATTCACATCTATTTCAATTCATAAAATGGATAAACAGTTAATAAAACACTTTTAACCTAAAGAGTAATTAAGAAAAAAATGCATCTATTTTATCAAACTAATAAAGACTTAAAAGTGATGACCAGTGTTGACAAGGAAGAAATGAATGCCATTCTCACAGTTGGTGGGACTGAAAATTTCAGGAAAGCAATTCAGGTAACAATTATTTTAAACCAATCATACCCCTTGACTCATCAATTTCACTTTTAGGACTCAGTCCTAAAGATACAGATGAAATGGGGCAAAGATTTCATTAAACAGCTACATTTAAGCACTTTCCCAAGTGTTTTATAGGTATTAATACATTTCATTCTCACTCTATGAGGTAAGTCTATCAGTGCCTTTTTTTTTTTTTGAGATGAGGTCTTGTTCTGTCACCGAGGTCACGGTAGTACAGCGCCGACTTAGTAACAGCTCACTGCAGCCTCGACCTCCTGGGTTTGAGTGTGCCTCCCACCTCAGCCTCCCAAGTTGCTGGGACCACAAGTGCATGCTACCACGCCCAGCTAATTTATTATTTTTAGTAGAGATGGGGTCTCACTATATTGCCCAGGCTGGTCTTGAACTCCTAGGCTCAAGCAATCCTCCCACCTTGGCCTCTCAAAGTGCTGGGATTACAGGAGTGAGCCACCAGACCCAGCCTAGTGTCATTTTACAGATGGGGAAAAGAGAGATACAGGAAAGTTAAATATCTTGTCCAAGGTCATTCAAACACTAAATAGGGAAGGCAATATTTGAACACAAGCATTCAGACCTCAGAGTTTAAACTCTTGTGATATGGTGAAATGTTTATGGTACACTGTTAAGCTAATAAAAAGGATGATATTGAATTGCAAATATAGTATATCTTAGTAAGAGAACATGCATAGAAGAAAAGTACAGAAGAAAATGTGAAATATTTAGTGTTCTTTATAAGCAGGATCGTTAAGTGGTTATCATTTTCCTCTTTGTACTTTAGCCACTATGAGCATAAATCACTTTTTTTTTTTTGGGGGGGACAGAGTTTCACTCTTATTGCCCAGGCTGGAGTGCAATGGCACAATCTCGGCTCACTGTAACCTCTCATCTCCCAGGTTCAAGTGATTCTCCTGCCTCAGCCTCCCAAGTACCTGGGATTACAGGCATGTGCCACCACGCCCGGCTAATTTTGTATTTATAGTAGAGATGGGGTTTCTCTATGTTGGTCAGGCTAGTCTTGAACTCCTGATCTCTGGTGATCCGCCCGCCTCAGCTTCCCAAAGTGCTAGGATTACAGCTGTGAGCCACCACACCCAGCCCTTTTTTTTTTTTTTTTTTTTTTTTTTTGAGACGGAGTCTTGCTCTGTTGTCAGGCTGCATGGAGTGCACTGGCGCGATCTCGGCTCACTGCAACCTCCGCCTTCGGGTTCAAGTGATTCTCCTGCCTCCCCTCCCGAGTAGCTGGGATTACAGGCATGCGCCACCACACCCAGCTAATTTTTGTATTTTTAGTAGAGACGGGGTTTCACCATGTTGGCCAGGATGGTCTCGATCTCCTGACCTCATGATCTGCCCACCTTGGCCTCCCAAAGTGCTGGGATTACAGGTGTGAGCCACTGTGCCTGGCCAGTAACTTTTTACAATTGGAAAAAAAAAAAAAAAACCATGCCAGTTTTAAGAAAACAAGGTCAGATTTGCAGGCTGTATGTGACACTTCATTCTTTATCAAATCTACTCTTTGGACATTAAGAATCATCTGAAAATGCTCCAGGGGGTATGTAATCCAAGTGTGATATGTACAAATACAAAACTACAAAAAGCACTGGGTTATTATCATGGGACTCTAATAGACTGTCATGTTTGAGGTCTTTAATTCTCTGCCTAACTTTGCTCCTGAGAAGTCAAAGTTCTTAGCCTTCAAATTAGCACTAATGTAAATATAAGGGCAATATATTTCATCCAAGATAGCTTTTTTTTTTTTTTTTTGGAGACAGGGTCTCGCTCTGTTGCCCAGGTTAGAGTGCAGTGGCACAACCTTGGCTCAAGTGATTCTCCTGAGTATCTAAGTAGCGAGTATCTAAGTATCTAAGAGGCTTCTCCTGAGCCTCTAAGTAGCTGGGAATACAGGTGCATGCCACCATGCCCGACTAATTTTTGTATTTTTTGTAGAGACAGGGTTCTGCCATGTTGGCTAGGCTGGTCTCAAACTCCTGACCTCAAGTGATCTGCCCACCTTGGCCTCCCAAAGTGTTGGGATTACAGGTGTGAGCCACTGCACTTGACCTCGAAGAGGGTTTCTTGATAGAGTAAGCAGAAGAAATTAAAACGGTTAACAATTAATTGACATGTACTTGACTGGTTTCCTGGCTCTAAACCAGTGGTCCCCAACCTTTTTGGCACCAGGGACCGGTTTCATGGAAGATAATTTTCCCATGGCTGTCGCAGGGGCCGGGGAGGGGGAGGTGGATTCAGAATACAATTGTTGCACCTCAGATCATCAGTCCTTAGAGTCTCATAAGGAGCAGGCAACCTAGATCCCTCACATGCGCAGTTCCCAATAGGGTTTGTGCTCCTCTGAGAATCTAATGCTGCTGATCTGACAGGAGGTGGAGCTTAGGCGGTAATGCTTGCTTGCCCTCGGCTCATCTCCTGCTGTGCAGCCCTGGTTCCTAACAGGCCACAGAACAGTACTGGTCCATGGCCCAAGGGCTGGGAACCCTTGCTCTAAACTGCTGAATGCAAGGCTCTCAGAAGAAGCTCTTTACTGGGACCTCCTCACAGAACTTATTTTTTTCCTTTTTTACTCCAGGTTTTATCTGTGTATTTTACAATATAACATAAGGTTTATATAAATTTAACCTATCTTTTGGATGTTACCGTCAGCTTGTATGAACTAGCTAGCTTTCTGCCTGATTCTGGCAGGGCTTTTTCTTTTTTCTTTTTTGAGACAGTCTCGCACTGTCGCCCAGACTGGAGCGCAGTGACGGGATCTCGGCTCACTGCAACCTCCCACCTCCTAAGTTCAAGTGATTCTCCTGCCTCAGCCTCCTGAATAGCCATGACTACAGGTGTGCGCCACCATGCCCTGCTAATTTTTGTATTTTTTGTAGAGATGGGGTTTCACCATGTTACCCAAGCTGGTCTTGAATTCCTGGACTCAAGTGATCCGCCCACCTTGGCCTCCCAAAATGTTAGGATTACAGGCAACAGCCACCACACCCAACTGCAATCTGGCCTTTGGCTGTTATGTTTGGTGTGTCCTCCCTGAAATGACCAAGTATTACATCAAGACAGAGTTCTCAAAGCACATGCCTGTTAGATAAAGAAGAATGTACGTACACAGGAAACAGCACTTCATACTGAAGAAGCCAGTCTGTCAGTTTACGCAACTTGCTTTGTATGCACAAGGGTATAGAAACAGAAATGTATCAAAGATGGTATCTTACTTGGTAAGTGGTTGGTTAGAAAGCAACTGCTTAAGATGCTGGGACAAGAGCTTCTTTTCTAGAGACAGTCTTATCCATGCCCGAGCTCGTCCAACATCAGTCTTGATCTCACTCATGTTTTGAATATGCCTAAAGAATAGTGGTAACAGCAAAGATGTAGATCTTAAGGATAACGCTGACTAGAAAAGAAGTAAAGAGTGAACAGTACTGGGCACAGAAAGGTTATTTTATACTTAAAGGGAGCAGTCGTTAATATACAATTGATGTTGATTAAATCTTTGAAGGTTCCATCTGAATCATGAAGTTAGTCTCACATCATAATTGCCATTACAACACAAGCACACAGACAATGTCATAAGATAAAGCATTTAACACTCATTCACTCTTTCAGGCTTCATTATGTCCTTGCTGAAGAGTCATAGATACCTGTAAATAAATATTTCTGATTCTCAAAAAAAAAGTAATGAAACAGGGTGAATACTTAAGTTGCTTTTCAAAGTAACTGTTCTATACCATAATTAAATATCAGCCACAACTTTAATCCACTGAATTACTTTTCAAGTTGCACTGGACAACATATGGAAAATATGAAATCTTACATTCTATGGCATTAGAGAAAAAAAGCCAGACTGCACTGATAATCTTTAATTGGCTAATTATTTAAAAATACAGGGTCTCGCTATGTTGCCCAGGATGGTCTCAATCTCTCGGTCTCAAGTGATCCTCTTCCCTCAGCCTCCCAAAGTGTATGACCCACTGCACTCGGATCTTATAATATTGCTTTAAACCCACACATTGTAAAGGTTGACTAAGTATTGTACCTAAAATATTTAAAAGACAAAAGCCTCTGCCTTCCTCATTCAATAAATCTGTGTTAGGTATCTTGATGTCTTCTAACGATTTCTTAACAGTAATTGCAAGTGATGATTCTCAGATCTGTATTTGCTTCAAACTAAGTCTACCTGATTGCAATTGTTCTGCCACATATCCTGCCATTATTTGCAGATTTTTTCTTCTGTATCGGTGGGCAGCAGGTATTTAAGGCAATTTAAAAAACTGAACAAAAGAAGCTATAAAATAGTTTAGGATGGGCACAATGGCTCATGTCTGTAATCCCAGCCCTTTGGGAGGCCAAGGCGGGAGAATCACTTGAGCCCAGGAGTTCAAGGTCAGCCTGGGCAATATTAGATCCCATCTTGGCCGGGTACGGTGGCTCACGCCTGTAATCCCAGCACTTTGGGAGGCCCAGGCAGGTGGATCACGAGGTCAGATCGAGATCATCCTGGCTAACATGGTAAAACCCTGTCTCTACTAAAAACACAAAAAATTTGCCAGGAATGGTGGCACATGCCTGTAGTCTCAGCTACTCAGGAGGCTGAGGGAGGAGAATTACTTGAACCTGGGAGGCGGAGGTTGCAGTGAGCTGAGATCATGACACTGCACTCCAGCCTGGACAACAGAGTGAGACTCCATCTCAAAAACAAAAAACAAAAAACAAAAAACAAACCAAAAAAACCCTGTCTCTAGTGAAAATCAAAAAAATTAGCTGGGCGTGGTGGCAGGTGCCTGTAATTCCAGCGACTTGGGAGGCTGAGGCAGAAGGATTGCTTGAGCCTGGGAAGTTGAGGCTGCAGAGAGTGGCGATTTCACCACCGAACTCCAGCCTGGGTGACAAAGCAAGACCCTGTCGCTAAAGTAAAATAAAATAAAAAAGTTTAGAGATGCTTTAAAACTCTTCTCAGCTGCATCTTCCATTTGAATATAATGTCAGGAAACAATACAATGGTATAAAAATAAAATAAATGAAACCATAAAAATACTTTCTTCAGAATTACATAAGCCAAAAATACACATAGCCATAATTATTTGAGCAATTTAGTTAAAAGCCACAAAATACTTCAAAAAGTTACCACCACATGCTAACACATGTATTAATAACAAATACCTCATGTCCTGGATAAGAGAGACCCTGAGTGTTGGCAACATAACTCCTGACTCAGATTTTCTTCTTTCTGGTCCGAGGGCAACTATGTAGAAAAATATCAGCAAAATATTAGAAAAGTAATAAAAAAATATACATGGTTCATACTAAATACTTTGAAACTGCTTTGATAAGAAAAAATTTTAACAATTTATATCATCTAGCCCAAAATGTCAAAGCACAAATTTTAAAGAAAATAGGGTCTTGCTCTGCCACTGAGCTTGGAGTGCAGTGTGTAGTGGTGTGATTGTGGCTCACACTGCAGCCTCGACCTCCTGGGCTCCAGCAAGCCTCCCAACGTAGCCCTGTCCAGAGTACCCGGGATTACAGGTGTGCACCACCACGCATGGCTCATTTTAAAAATTTTTTGTAGAGACGGGGTCTTCCTATGTCTGGGCTATTTTATTAACACAGTAAATCAGCTATTTTCTTTTCTTTTCTTTTCTTTTTTTTTTTTTGAGATGGAGTTTTGCTCTTGTTGCCTAGGCTGGAGTGCAATGGTGCGATCTCAGCTCACTGCAACCTCCACCTCCTGTGTCCAAGTGATTCTCCCGTCTCAGTCTCTCGAGTAGCTGGGATTATAGGCATGCACTACCATACCTGGCTAATTTTTTGTATTTTTAGGACAGACAGGGTTTCTCCATGTTGGTCAGGCTGGTCTCAAACTCCCAATCTGAGGTCATCTGCCTGCCTCGGCCTCCCAAAGTGCTGGAATTACAGACGTGAGCCACTGTGCCCAGACCCAGCTATTTTCTTTCTATGTAATCTGGAACTGCTTTTGGAAATTTTAAACGAATCACAAAAGACCACCTAGCAAACGATGCAATGCATACAAATTCTGGCCATAAGGACCAGGCACTTTTTTTTTTTTTTTTTTAAACATAGTCTTGCTGTTGCCCAGGCTGAAGTGCAGTGGTGTGATCTTGGCTCACTGCAACCTCTGCCTCCTTGGTTCAAGCAATTCTCATGCCTCAGCCTCCCGAGCAGCTGGGACTACAGGCGTGCGCCACCACACCCAGCTAATTTTTGTATTTTTTAGTAGAGACGTGGTTTCACCATGTTGACCAGCTGGTCTTGAACTCCTGAACTCAAGTGATCCGCCCGCCTTGGTCTCCCAAAGTGCTGGGAATACAGGTGTTAGCCACCATGCCTGGCCAGTTACTTTCTAGTTACTCATTCTAATAGCTCTAGATAATTACATGAAAGCAATGTATATACATTAAGCTACTAAAAATGTGAAACATCTCTGGGCTCATGAATTGAAGTCACACAATTAAACTCTTGAAGAGTGAAAAAAAATCCTGTGTGCTCAGTCCTGGAATCCCAACACTTTGGGAGGCCAAGGCAGGAGGATTACTTGAGCCCACGACTTCAAGACCAGCCTGGGAAACATAGGGAGACCAGCCTGGACTACACAGAAAGACCCCGGTTTTGCAAATAATTATATGGGTTTGGACAATGGGAAGCTAAATATATATATATGTCTTTTTTTCAATTAGCTTTTTTTTTTTTTTTTATAGCTGAGCATGGTAGTGTTCACCTGTAGTACCAGTTGCTTGGGAGGCTGAGGTGGGAGGATCACCTGAGCTTACCACTGCACTCCAGCCTGGGCAACAGAATGAGATTGTCTCTTTAAAAAAAAAAAAAAAAAAAAAAAAAAAAAAAAAAAAAAGAGGCCGGGCACAGTGGCTCACGCCTGTAATCCCAACACTTTGGGAGGCCAAGGCAGACGGATCACGAGGTCAGGAGATCAAGACTACCCTGGCTAACATGGTGAAACCCCATCTCTACTAAAAAATACAAAAATTAGCTGGGCTTGGTGGTGGGCACCTGTAGTCCCAGCTACTCTGAAGGCTGAGACAGGAGAGTGGCATGAACCCGGGAGGCAGAGCTTGCAGTGAGCCAAGATCGTCCCACTGCACTCCAGCCTGGGCGACAGAGCGAGACTCTGTCTCAAAAAAAACTCTAAGATTTCAGGCTCTTCAGTCTGGTAAGTTTCTACCTTGAAGTTCAGAGTCCAAACTACAGTAATTATAGCATGCAAAGCGAGTAATCTAAATAGACACTAAGTATAATGTCCATGAGTATTCTCTTATGAAGCCTGAATAGCTAACATTTATGAAAGAACAGCTAACATTTATGATAGCTAACAATTATGGGATTACAGGTGCATGCCACCACACCTGGCTAATTTTTGTACTTTTTGTAGAGATGGGGTTTTGTCTCTATGTATGAAAGAAGGAAAGATTATTCTCATACAGCAACAGCTAAGCAAAGATCTATTGGCTAATATATTGTAGTTGCAGTGTTTGCTCTCATGCTCAAGGAGAGGCCATGGAGTTTAGGCCTTTCATTTCTATCTTCTCATCTATAAATATAAATGAAATTCCAACATCATACTCAGCAAATACACCTATATAAGTAGAACTGAGAATGCAAATTTTTGCTATATATTAAACCTATCATTTTCTGAGTTTTTAGATTCTTTCTACGTTGGGGGGCTGGGACACAATACCAAAACACATAAATATATATGAAGTTGGCACTAAAGGAAGATAGGGAACATTTTGGTGTATTATGATCCCTATGCTTTTGACACTGGCAGGTATAAATGAGTACTGATGGGGTTGCCAGAAGGAAGAGGTTGTGGCCAGGCCAATCTAAAAGCACTACTTTCGAGGGTCTTCCATACCATGTGATGATAAATAGGACATTCGTTGTGGCGATTTTGGGAGGGAGTTTCAGTGGGGCACTAGACTCATTCATCTTGACACCCAGGAGGTAATAAATGCTGAGGAAATTGTTCCAGACTTGCAGGGAATGTGTTATGTGTTACTGAACAGAGCGCATCTTTTTTTTTTTTTTTTTTTTTTTTAGATAGAGTCTCACTCTGTAGCCCAGGTTGGAGTGCAGCGGCATGATCTTGCGTCACTGCAGCCTCCATCTCCGGGCTCAGTGATCCTCCAACCTCAGCCTCTTGATAGCTGGGATTACAGGTGCGTGCCACCACACCTGGCTAATTTTTGTATTTTTTGTAGAGACAGGGTTTTGTTTCTATGTTTATGTTGCCCAGGCTGGACTCAAACTCTTGGACTCAAGCAGTCTGCCTGCCTCGGCCTCCCAAAGTGCTGGGATTACAGGCATGAGCCATCACACCTGGCCACATCTTTCTTTTTGAGAACAAAGTGAGATGGCTCAGAGAATGCCTCTGTACTCCAGATGATTAGACAAAATGAAAGATGGCCACACAGGCGGTAAGAAATAGATTGACAGAGGAAAAAAGGGGATTTGAAATCATAATTAACAAGTTGGCTAGAAGGAAACATGACAACCAGAAGTAATCATGCCTCTCAAACTAGAGAGCAAGTGAGAAACTTCGTTTTAAATAATAAGAGACGGGGGTCTCACTATGTTGCTCAGGCCGGTCTCAAACACCTGGCTCAAGGAATCCTCCCATCTTGGCCCCCTAAAGTGCTGGAATTACATGTGTGAGCCAGTGTGCTTGGCAATTCCTGTTGTTTAAACTACTCAGTTTGTGGTACTCTATTATGGTGGCCCTAGGAAATGAATGTGGTAATTTATTAGTGACTCTGGAGAGAAGAGTTTAAAAGCCTGTGAGCAGAGGGCAGATTAGGGGTTTGGAAATGGAACCACTTCTTTTATCTAGAGACCTAAAATCTAAGATTTCCATGAAGCCTACTCCAGCTATAAAATTCTCCAGCTAGAAGAGAATTTTATAAACTATTTAAATGTATACTTCCATTACTATTTCTTAATTGAAAATACTCAAACAATAGGCCACTTTCTCCTTCAAAATAAAGATTCATGGATTTAATTCTTGGCTACAAGAATTTGCTCATCTGCCTGAATCAAACTACAAAATTAGCCGAGTGTGGTGGCGCATGCCTGTAATCCCAGCTACTCGAGGGGCTGAGGCAGGAGAATCGCTTGAACATGGGAGGTGTAGGTTGCAGTGAGCCGAGATCATGCCACTGCATCGTGTCTCGGCAACAAGAGTGAGCTAAACTCCGTCTCAAAAAAAAAAAAAAAAAAAAAAATGAACACAAGTTAAACATTTTGTTTACTTTCATTTGGAGTGGTGAATTTTATAAATGTAGCACAGATAGCAGTTTTTGAGGGCAGAGATTGTATATTTCTACAGAACCATGTACAGTCTATAGGTAGGTAAGTAATTAATAGAAAATTTCTGATGAAGGTAAGATGAAGAGTGACTCAAAATTCCTGGGTTAGATCCAGAAAAAACACTTAAAAGCAGCATTTCTGGCCAGGCGCGGTGGCTTACACCTGTAATCCCAGCACTTTGGGAGGCTGAGGTGGGTGGATCACCTGAGGTCAGGAGTTCAAGACCAGCCTGGCCAACATGGTGAACCCCGTTTCTACTAAAAATACAAAAATTCGCCAGGTGTGGTGGCACACGCCTGTAATCCCAGCTACTCAGGAGGCTGAGGCAGGAGAATCGCTTGAACCCAGGAAGTGGAGGTTGCACTGAGCCAAGACTGCGCCATTGCACTCTAGCCCAGGCAACAAGAGCAAAACTCCATCTCAAAAAAAAAAAAAAAAAAGGAAAAAAGGCAGCATTTCCATTCCCTTCAGTGGAAGGGTTCTACACCTACACCCTGCCAAAATCCATTTCCAGTTACTAGTAGAACCTTGTCTGAAGGTGCAAAGTTTAAGAACTGGCTCAACATTTTTATTTATTGTTACTATTTTTTGGAGACAGGGTCTTGCTCTGTCACCCAAGCTGGAGTGCAGTGGTGGGATCACAGTACTCACTGTAGCCTCAACCCCGTGGGCTCAAGCAATCCTCCAACCTCGGCCTCCCAAGCATCTGGGACCACACATGTGTGTCACTATACCTGACTAATTAAGACAAAAAACATTTTTTTTTTGTAGACAGGGTCTTACTATGTTACCTTGGCTGGTCTCAAACTCTTGGGCTCAAGTGATCCTTCCACCTCGGCTTCCCAAAGTGCTGGGATTACAGGACTGGGTCACCATACCCAGCCTCCCAACACTTTTTTTTTTTGAGACAGCATCTTGCTCTGTTGCCCAAGTTGGAGTGCAATGGCATGATCTTGGCTCACTGCAACCTCTGCCTCCTAGGTTCAAGAGATACTCATGCCTCAGTCTCCCGAGTAGTTGGGATTACAGGTGTGTACCACCATACCCGGCTGACTTTTATATTTTTAGTAGAGACGGGGTTTCACCATGTTGGCCAGGCTGGTGTCGAACTCCTGGCCTCAAGTAATTTGCCCTCCTTAAGCTCCCACAGTGCTGGAATTACAGGCATGAGCCACCACACCCAGTCCTCTCAACAAATTTAAAGGTTAAAACTTCTGAGTGATGTGTCAAGAACAGTCTTTGTTCTAGGACCAATTGTATTCTGAAATTCTTTCTCTAAAATAGGATGTCAAACTACTAGGTGCAGTGATCACTAGGTCAAAATTAATACTGCCTACCCACTATGGTCCTCTTGCTATCTTTCCATTCCTCTACAACCCTTAAAATGTCTCTGACTCCTGTTCAGTGCTGCTTCTGAAGACTCACGATAATAATCCAGCATCTGGTCTCATCATGATTCAATGCTAGTAAGAATAATGTTCAAACCCATCATAAATCTTTTTATTTTTTTTTTTGACATGGAGTCTCCCTCCATCGCCCAGGCTGGAGAACGGGGGAGCAGTCTTGGCTCACTGCAACCTCCATCTTCCAGGTTCAAGCGATTCACCTGCCTCACCCTCCTGAGTAGCTGGGATTACAGATACCCGCCACCATGCCTGGCTAATTTTTGTATTTTTAGTAGAGAGGGGGTTTCACCACATTGGCCCGGCTGGTCTCAAACTCTTCATCTCCAGTGACCCATCCACCTCGGCCTCCCAAAGTGCTGGGATTACAGGCATGAACCACCATGCCCGGCCCATCATAAATCTTCAAGGATCTTTCCTAAATATGACAATGCAGACTGTTTATTGCCATTAATTAGGAAGCTTAATAATTGGCAAAAAAAAGTACTTGGTAGAAAAAAATTCAGATTTTAAAAACTGTTAATTTTTGCATAATTACGACTTACTCCTTAAGAATGAGAGATTTCAATTTAAACTGATGTTTTAATACATATTTTATATTCTTATAAATATATATATATTTCGAGACGGAGTCTCACTCTGCTGCCCAGGCTGGAATGCAGTGGCGTGATCTTGGCTCACTGCAACCTCTGCCTCCCAGGTTCAAGTGCTAGGATTACAGGCATTGAGTCACCACGCCTGACCTCATTTTTGTTTTTTAACAGAAAAAGTGGCAGAGGAGATGGACACTAGAGAATGCTTTTAAATTTGATCTGAATCTTTATAAATATAGTTACAGTCAGAGACAGCAGAACCTTGGCATTCTGATTGCAGGAGCTCCAGGGCAATGTAGTCAACTCATATTCCTAGCTGTCTGATTAAATACATTTAAACACTAGGTTTCTAACAATAAATACTACATTTAGGGTAGTGTTGCCCTCTAGGGGCAGTGAGGGAAAAGAAATTAGGGTGAACAAAAGGGTCTTCAGGCTGGGCGCAGTGGCTCACGCCTGTAATCCCAACACTGTGGGAGGCCGAGGCAGGTGGATCACGAGGGCATGAGATCGAGACCATCCTGGCTAACACGGTGAAACCCCGTCTCTACTAAAAATACAAAAAATTAGC